AGACAAGGAAATAATATTTATTATTAATATTTTAATGGGTGTAATGAAAAATTTTAGGTGTTCATATATCGCGATTTTTCTAGAATTTTCCAGAAACTCCGCGATATATTTTCCATATATATATATATTAAAAATTCCGTGAAGTCGTGAATCCCTGATAGTAGAACCACGATAAGCGAGGGATCACTGTATAATTCTACATCAAAACATGGCAAACACTTTGTACATAATTAAAAAGTCAATTTACACATACTAATTATAATATATTAGGCTATATTAATTAAGGCATTTGTTTATGCCAATTAACCAGATACCAATTAGAGCGAAAACTGATTATAGTAATTCGCGATCAAATAATTTATACTAATTATACAACCAATTTATTTAAGTTATTTAGATTTATACCAAATACTAAACCAATTTATTCATATCAATTGGCGAATTAATTTATTTAATTTCGTTATAACAATCACTCAGTCGATCTAATTATATTAGTTAATCAACTAACATTTGCAGAAAATGACAACTACATAAATTCTACCAATTAGCCAACCGAGTTACTTGTATCAATTATCCGAGCAATTTGCAAAATAATTTATTGTTGCTATTTAGCCAATCAATTTAATTATATCAATTAACCAATTAAATTCGTCGTTATTTGCAATGACTTGTTGTCGCTTATCAGGTTATATATTTTCTGTTTATTTTGGTATGTCAAGGTTTTCAACAAATTCTTGAATCTGCTTTTCATTAGGGAAAGTTTTGCCTATTAAAAGTTTTGCCGACATCGAAAAAAGAAACAATCTGTGAGTGAAAGGTTACATGAATATGGTTCGTGGGAGCAGAACAAACTAATTTGTTTCTTGTAGCATTATTACTGTTTGCGGACTTTCCTACAGAAAAAAAAAACAACTGTTTTCCTCTTAACGGGTGTAGGGAAGTTTTCGCCTACAAATTTAGCCACACATTGCACTTGCCTGAGATATAAATGTGCATTTAGGATATTGGAGGGATTCATCCCTGTCAATCTTTTTACCATTGTCGGATGTTAATGTACTCCAAGTTTATTATTATTGATGGATTCGTTTATTTAAAGGCATATCAACTCCTCACGGGTTATTTACAGCCGAAATTTAATGTTCTTGGGAGCTTTGAAATAATAAAAATATGATACATGTTTTTCTTCTTTCACAATTGAATACATGGTAGATGATACTCTGCTTTTGTGCATATACATGTGTGTGCAGACATAATAGAGTCGGTGATATGTGTGTTTTATGTTGCAGTTTTGTGTAAGTTAGTTGTGTAAGTTTTGGAATACAGTTTGATTTTGTAGGATATTATATGGATTAATGTCATGAAAGTGTTCTTTTATGTCGGTGGTTTGGCTGGTGGATTTGTTTGGCGGCATATCAACACCTCTATGGGTTATTGTTGTGGATTCCGAGATGAATTCGGTCTCCAAGGAATGACAAACGCAATAATTAAATATAAGAAATAAAATGTATTTGCACAATCATACAAAGAGTAATACTGTTAGTAAATCCAGGAACGCGGTTAGTAGCAAATACGGATAGATATATACAGTCTCGAAGTTGGACTTCCTTAGAGTCTACGTGCTTGTAACTGACTTCTACAAGAGGTTACCTCACACTATCTCCGTCGTATATTCTCTCTCTCTCCGTATATCCTCTCTGACTGACTGTCTCACTCTGGGTATTTAACGGCAGCACTCCAAGTAACATTGGTAGAGTCCACTTATATGAAAAAGGGGTGGACCCCATAACAGTTATTTAATGCCGAAATCTAAATATTTAGTACATAATTTTATACTTTCAGAGTAAAGGTATATTTTTAGATATATATTTTGTAGATCATAAAATACATTATTGACAATTTTACTATAAAAATGTATTTTAATATTTTTTTTTCTTCATCTGTGAGAAAATTGCCCAGTATCCTATGCCACATAAGGAAATTATTAACTCATAACGGTTCATCATTTCTTCGGTTCAAAGAAATTTTTCCTGTTTCTTAGTATTTTACTTAGTTTTTGGAAGGCATCTTTTGCTATCGCAATTCCTATTTGTAATTCATATTTTATAAAAAACAAACAAACTTGGAAACGTTTCTGACTTTGTTTTTCTTTTATTTAACTTTACATTCTTTTAGTATTGCACTGATTTTCATTTTGCTAAAATGTATTGTATGTCATTTTATTATTAAATTATACTATTGATTTTTGTTTTGGGGTTCACAATTTGCCCATAACTGGGATCCTAACAGTTGCTACCGCTCCAGGTCAAGGTAGACCTGGGAACAACAGTAATTAAGAGGTTCTACGCTCATCTTTACTGCTAGATGTAGTTTATCGTCATACCGAGGACTAGCAATTAAGAAGTGATTCAATGCCTCTCAAAACCTCCAATCTTCCGATCAGAGGACTTGCTGCCGGATGTAATTTATCATCAAACCCAGGACGAAATTTATTATTAACAACCAGGTATGATTAATAGTTCGGATTATACATTCATCGTTACAATTGATTCACCAAGGCTGAACTTATTGCTAAACTTAATAAATACGTTGCGGTAATTGCCCAACAAAATTAATTCTAGCAATTAGCCAATCATGTTATAGCAAGTGATTACAGCAATTAATCAAACAAATTTACTTACTCCGCAAAGGCTACCATTTTAGATATATCAATTATCCAACGAGTTAGTTGGTTAATTGGCCCAACAGAATAGACACTGAAGACAAAGAAACCAGGAGTAGCAGGTAAACACGTGAACACACGCCTACACCCAGTTTCCAGGTGTGAGACATGTTTTTTTTTTATAAATGCGATTATATAACCAACAATCCCGAAGATGATCAGGGGCAATTTCCTGCTGTCTTTCTCCCGCGTCACAGAAAGGTGTGAGGTTCATGCATTGAACCAGGGGCGTTGTTGACCGCGTAGAAATACACTAGGCGATGGAAATTAATAATGTCAGGTGTTGAATAAAATGTAAAGTTAAATATGAAAACTTTTCCAGATTTTCAGAAACGTTTCCAATAAAAGATTTTTGTTTATAAAATCCGAACTACAAATAGGAATTGCAATAGCAAAAGATGCCTTCCAAAAACTAAATAAAATCCTAAGAAACAGGAAAATTTCTTTGAAACAAAGAAAAGATAAACCGTTATGAATTATTAATTTATATATGTGGCAGATGATGTTGGCCAATCTTCTCAGAGATGAAGAAAAGACTTAACGCGGTTCTACATCAGTATGTCGAAAATATCATGGTGGGAATGCTTAAGTAATGGCAAACAAAAGTACACTTATACTCAGAATCAGAAAGAGACAGCTGAAATTTCTGAGACACATAATGAGGAAGGAGGGTTTGGAAAATTTGGCACTCACAGGGCATATCGAAGGCCAGAGGAAAAGGATGACGCATCGGTCTACCTACCTGACGTTCTCATGTGAATAGATAATAGACCGAGAAGGGAGGGATGGTAAAAGGTAAGGATTAGTAAGAGGTACAAGTAATAGGAAGTTGTGAAGAGCCATGATTGTGTGGTTCTGAAGGAACACAGCACATATAAGAATAAATACAAAATAATGTTTTAAAAAAATGCGAAAGATTTCTAAATATGACTTATGATAGTCGGAGAGCAGATCAACCGAAACAGTTATGAAAGAACACATTCGAAAAGCCTTTGTAGAATTGTAAATGCCATCTCAAAACTGAAGACAAAAACCGTTATCTATATTCTGCTGATAATTCTTATGACATTTTATCTCCAGACTAAAGTTCTTTTTTTCTTGTTCATTTCTTCAATTCTTCTAATCTTCTTTACTCACGAATACACACGTGAGTAAAAGACAAAATCATCACCCACCCCCCGCGACGACGAAGTCTTCGAGCGAATCTATTGTTTTTTTTTCCTATGCGTGTTCGAACGATTTGGTGTGGGGCGAAACCAATTCTGAATACAGAATTGAAAGACCTCTTAGAAGTCGTGTACCACTACAGCAGACTTGCCTTCCGGCTTTTAGCAATAGGCACATCGCCCTTCTTTCCCTCCTTTTTTTTTTTTTTTTTCTTTTGGAGGGGTGTGACAGTTCGTCAACAAACAATGATTACTTGTTCGTTTGGGAACAGACTTCCCGTCGGCTACTTCCTAACTTCTTTCACTCTACCGGACCAATGGCACTCAACTCAAAACACGAACAACGAAAGAAATATCAACAAATTAAAAATCCAAACTTGCGTACCATATTGGTTTTCATTATCAAAAAGTCACGAATAAGGAACTCTAAAATACAAAGAAGCCTCCGACAGAATGGCCAGCCTTGTAATTAGAAAAATATATCAACAACCATTGTTGGAAATTATATCAACTGATTTTTTAACATAGCATATAATCATTTCACCCCAAAGGAAACAAGTCGGGTAAAGATACTCCAGAAGCGCCAAAAGTTTAATTTGAAACGAAGATTGGGGCAGAAAAGGTAGAAGCAGAAAATAGATATTGCTCCACGCTGATTCATTGGATAGATAGTGTTGTAACCTAGGGAAGGTTACTGACTAGAATAAGCACACGAAGGTTGGTAATGAACGATAATACTTAGGACAAGAATAACACATATAAGATTCGCCAGCGGCGCGTAGTAGTACCCAACAGCTAGAAGTGAGTCAAGTGAATTCCACAATAAATCTCCAACTACAGAATATTTATCAACCGCCCCGCGCGGTCAAATATAGCACAAGGCCGAATTTCATGTGGGGTATCCGAGTCCGTAGGCTTGGTTGAAAATTCCCCGTATAAAACGGGGTCGGGTAGCTGTTTCCTGAGACGAGACTCTGCCCTTCGACATAGCCTCGTCTGAGGATCCTCTCTAATCAGAGGCGGAGAGTTTGACCAGCACAGCTGGAGACGAATCTCCGAATGCAGGCCAACATATATTATTTACTACTGTATTTATGTGAATGGGGACATCCCCATTATCGCCGTAGGTATGCTACAAAAGATAGATAGATAGATAGATAGATAGATAGATAGATAGATAGATAGATAGATGTGAAAAGACTGGAAAAAAATAGACGCAAAAGACATTTAAGCACCATAGAGAACCCTTTATGCCTGCGATCAGCGTGGCTGACGCTAGACTTGGAGAACAACACACTACGCCTTCGTTCCCTTGCGTTTTCAACTGACTTTAAGTAGAGCGACTACATCGAGTCAATAGCTGCATCTACTGCAAGGATAGTTAGGTCTTGCCAGAAAGTTTTTCTCGTCAGGGTCCATCTTACACATTTACAAATCTACCATTCGTCTGTGCATTGAATACTGCTGTCATATTTGGTCTGGTGCTCCTGCTATTCATCTCTAGGTTCTTGACAAATTCCATAAAAGTATCTTTAATGTAATCGATCCTCACTTGGCATCTTGACTTCAGTCACTTTCTCACTGATATAACGTGGATTCTCTCTGTCTTTTTTACAAATATTTTCATGGCAACTGCTCTGACAAGCCTTTTTCCCTGATGCCCCGACTACATGAATTTAAACATGCTACTAGATTGGAATTTAGGTCCCATCTGTTTACTGTTGAAATAGCTAAATGCAAACCCACTGCTACTTCAATAGTTTCTTTCCTCGCACTCCCAGTCTGTGGAACCCTCTTATGTTTACTTTCCTTCTCTGATAACTACAATCTTTAAAAACTTAAATGCAATATCAATCGCCATCTTCTATCTTCTTGAATCCCGTTTATTTTTTGTCTTTTCCTCAATCCTCATTATACTCAGTCTTTTCTTTGACTTTCACTCCGTGTAACACCCCCCACCCCGCGTACCATTAGCATTACCGCCTTGCTTCAGATCAAATGATTAGTAAAAAAGTTATATACAAATTCGAGACACACACACACACACACACACACACACACACACACACACACACACACAGAGGGAGAGAGAGAGAGAGAGAGAGATGGAGATATATGAAAACCCTATAGAAAGAAGCACCAGACCAGATGTTGCAGCAATATTCAACGTACAAGTGAATGGTAAACTTTTAAATGTGCGACATAAATTCGGTTGAGGAAAAGTGTTGAGTACCACACAGGGTACCAAGACTCTTAGCCGCAACAATAGCAGTTGACGCTATATAGTCTTTCTATTCATATCAGTGTGAACCTTAGACAGAGAAGGCGAGATACTCTCTTCGAGGTTAGTATCAGCCACGATGAAAGATAAAATGATTTTCTAAAACAATTAAGAGAGAACATTTTATATTTTGGGATTTGTTCAAATTAACAAGTGTAAGCGATCTGGGATTGCAAAGGAAATATCTGTCCCAGATCACTTCCACAATGCAGAGAATAAATCGCTGTAAGTTCAGGCTCGAACATCGGGGTCAGAAAGAAATGCTGAAAACTCGATTCGCAGGTACTCTCTCACAAATCACAATGCACGTAATCAGTCAGAAAAATAACCCACTCTCCGACAAACGCGGCACCAAAAAAAAAAAAAAAAAATGCCGAATTTTATTTTCTCTGTTGCTTTTATCGGCCGAGCATTTTTTTTCATTCGTCGACAACTGGGAGAGGACGCTCAATTTTTGCATATCAAAATACTTTTATAGTGACTCCCGCGACTGATTTATTTCCAAACTATTTCGTCTTCAGCATGTGATGTGGAATACGTGCCCTTTTTTTTTTGGTAAATAATTTTCTTTTTCATCAATTTTCCGTCGTAGGATACACGCGACAAGCTTGGTTTGACGAGGTAATTCGCCATTTTCTTCGCTATAACTAGCCATTTCTTGCTCCATTTAACAATAGATTGAAGTATATTTTCTAGGTCAGCTGTCAAATTTAGATAGATAAGAAACGTTAAATATATATAAGAAAAAAAAGTAAATAAATAGAATATACCGAACAGCAAAATTGTCCAAATCTTGTAACAGTATGCATTAATTGTCCATCCCAATAAGTGTTTAATAGCTAAAAAAAACTAAGCTAATTGATTTTTTCCAGGTTTTTGGATAAGCGGTTTTAGCCATCTTGACACCATTTGTTGTAAGAATCACTGAAAAACCCTTTGAGTTATTCAGCTAGAAAGAAAACAGTTTGAAATCGTTTAAATTTTTCATGATCAAAGTTGACTAGAATTTAAATTTATTATAAACAATTATTTAATAATTTAAATTTATTATTAAACAAATTATTTTTGTTAAATTTATTATACAAATTTAGTCGACTATTAAATCTGCCGTTATATTCCTCGATCTTCCCACTTCTTCCGTCCAACAAATGACATCCTGCAACACTGCCACTGAAATAACTTCCTTAGAATGCCATAGTTTTTGCGAACCTAATACACGCTTCCTCGTTATTGGCTAAAATTCAACCGAAGAAGATGAAAATAAGATTGAATAATTTAGTTGAGATTAATCTACTACCATTTTTACCTACAATGAAATAAAGTGAATTATTTTCATAAAGTTATCTTGAATTGACAAAAGGTTACAAAAGGTTGTAAACAAACTCTTAGTTGGCAATAATATAAATGATATATCTCCTTAAAAAGTCACTGTTGATTATTTACGGCTAATGTATTTAAATAATGCACTGATTAGTGCTTTCGTTAGGTTGCAATAATTATAAGTAAAATGATGCACTAAAATAAGTAACCAAGTAATCGTTTTAAGTTTTCTGAATCGATACCTATTCTTTAGAAATTCCTCTTTGGCCCCGTATTCTGTCCATGTCATTCTCAGCATCCATCTACAATATCATATCGCTATCTCTTTGAGTTTCTTCTTAATCTAAAGGGAAACTGTGAAGAACTCACTTCCATGTAGATAGATAGATAGATAGATAGATAGATAGATAGATTTTGGTGCGGTGATTGATTTTGTTTAGCGTTATATACACTTCTGTGCGTAATTTAATGCCAAAATCTAAATATTTTGAACAAATTTTATGGCTTCAAGTAAATATATTTTGAACGCAACTGTTTGCTTTCAGCTACATATAAAATGTATTGCTGGTCATTTTTCTTTCAAAATTTATTGCTGTCAGCGTTACTATAAATAGGTATTGTTCGTAATTGTTAATATAAAATGTACTGTTGGTATTTTTACTATAAAAATGTATTTTTAAACTTTCATTCGTTTGTTTTTGTTTGTAAGTGGGAAAGAAATCGATTCACACCTTTTCCCAAGGGTAACTGTGCGAAAGTGAACGCAACAACATCGGCCGGAATGTTAACCTAACACACTGATTCCATTTCCTGGAGCGATAACGACCACACTACTTGCACAATCATCCATATAGATAGATTGATATATATATATATATATATATATATATATATATATATATATATATATATATATATAGAGAGAGAGAGAGAGAGAGAGAGAGGGAGAAATAGATAGATAGATATATAGATAGGTAAATAGATAGATAGATAGATAGATAGATAGATACATAGATAGATAGATGAATAGGGATAGAGAGATAGGGGGATAGATAAATAGATATATAGATAGAGATATGAATATACATAGATAAATAGATATATATGAACTGACTGAGATAGAAACGAACAATCTGAGATAGATAATGAACTGACTGAGATAGATAGATAGATTGATAGATACGTATGAACTGAGATAGATAGATAGATAGATAGATAGATAGATAGATAGATAGATAGATAGATAGATAGATAGATGAAGAGGGATAGATAGATGAATAGGGATAGAGAGATAAGGGGATAGATTAATAGATATATAGATAGAGATATGAATATACATAGATAGATAGATCCATAGGTAAATAGATAATGAACTGACTGAGATAGATATGAACAATCTGAGATAGATAATGAACTGACTGAGATAGATAAATAGATACATATGAACTGCGATATATATATATATATATATATATATATATATATATATATATATAGATAGATAGATAGATATATATATATATATATAGGGATATAAGATATATATATGAATATAGATAGATAGATAGATACATAGGTAAATAGATAATGAACTGACTGAGATAGATATGAACAATCTGAGATTGATAATGAACTGACTGAGATAGATAGATACGCATGAACTGAGATAGATAGATAGATAGATAGATAGATAGATAGATAGATAGATAGATAGATATAAATAGAATCAACAGATAGATAATCGCAAGAAATGACAGTCCATATTTTTCTATAAACTTGCCTTGTTGCCATCTCTCTTGTCTTTTTTCTACCATATATTCATTCAATCTAGTAGTTTAACCGCTGTTTCTCTTGCTTTTCTTATCTATGTCTTGTGAGTGTTAAATATTCCAGTCCCACATATTTCGTCCGCCCTTTTCTCATTTAAAATATCAGTTTTCCTTGTCGTCCTTATTTTCTTCAAACTTTCTTAGCCCAATGTATAAATAGAAAAGTATTGTCCATGAAGTATTTCTTTTGCAATGTAATCGTCTTCCTTGTTCATACATGTAATTCAGTAGCAAATATTAAATTGAGCAGTCATTATACAGTAAACAATCATCTAATTTCATCCTATCTCTCTATCTATTTATCTATCTGACTTGTGTGTTTGTGTGTGTTGTGTTTATGTATGTGGCGCGGTTCAAGTACGTGTTTTATAGGTTTCGCTAGCGAGAAAATGCATTTCCCGCGAGTGTTAGGAAAATAATATAATTCTTAATAAACCAATGCTCGTTTTGAAAGAATATATCTAAAAATACTGCTGGCGCAACATTTTGAGTCCAGAGATTCGCAGTAACTGCATGAAAAGTAGCCTAAAACAAAGCAAACATATTCCATGTGCAATTTCCTATCTGGCTGACGTTATGGAAACGAATAAAGTCAATTTACAATGATAATTCATTTCCTTGGTTTATATCTCGGTCTTCATAAATAAATTATGATATGTAGGGATCGATTTCGCAAAGAAATGACATGCGAATGATTTAAATGCATTGGAAATTATTTACAATGGAAATTCATTCAAAATAAATTATAAAAAATATCGGAAATTAAAACTAAAAGCTTTATTACATAAATTAATGAAACAAAAGGTAAAAAAGATCATGGAGGCATTACAGTGGGTAAATGGTTAATGAACTTACCTAAAAGATCATTACTAATGTGTAGTGAGTTCGATCCTCACTAGATATCAGAAACCTTTTGGCCGCTGTTTCAAATTTGTCGAATTCTTAGGTTACTGAATACGTATGTCAAGCATTTCCCCTTGTTTAACACGGCCCTCGTGCAGATCAACCAATTAAAATAATGAGTTCAATTTTCACCAGGAGCTCCAATGTTGTGACCTTGTGCCACACTTTATATATATCAAGAATAGTATTGGGGAAATAGTATGACAAAGGGGAAATGTTTACTTGTGACGCGTTTCATCCTTCAGGACTTCATCCGACTAATTTTGTTATGGTGGTAGGACTACACATGCGCACGACAGAGGGTTGCTGGGAATTTTAGAATTTTTTTTTTAACTTCAGCCAAATTCATTTAGATTGTTTTTTCTTTTTCTTTACATTACTAAGCTAAGTATGTATTCCACTGTGTCATATTGCGAGGTCTGGCAGATATGTTGAAATGTAATAGCCAGTGCACAAATTTACTGCAGATGACATTGTGATTATGGCATTCTCTACACATTTACGTAAATAACACGTCACATGTAAAGTTTTTTTTATATTTTGTCATGCAATTTTCCATATCCATATATATATATATATATATATATATATATATATATATATATATATATATATATACTTAAAATTGTAAAATTAATGAGGAAAAAGAAAACAATACATATATACATTCTATTTATTTTGTTTTGTTGAAATTAAGTTGAATAAACTTTAAGATCAAATATTGCCTGAACTTCATGACAACATAGATACACTTCAAGCATAAACAGAGACAATACATACACAATCAGATTATAATACATAAACACGCAGGCGTATTGAGATATATACACACACAAAAAGCGAATCTTAAAATAAATATATATATATATATATATATATATATATATATATATATATATATATATGTGTGTGTGTGTGTGTGTGTGTGTGGAGAGAGAGGAAATTATACACACACACATATAGATAGAGAGAGAAATTATATATATATATATATATATATATATATATATATATATATATATATATGCAAGTTTCATTAAAACGACAGACAAGGTACTACGGTTAAGCTTTTTTTTATTTAATTTTTCTTGTGTTCGAACAAGAGCTTTCTTTTCTGGACAAAGGGTGTGTAAGAAGAAAGGAAACTAACACAAAGTGTGTGTACGTACAACATTCAGGAAAAACCTCGTCTTACGACAAATAAAATCAGCTCAAAATGACATTCAACATTTAAACATTTGGACTTTACACACCCTTGTCTGTCGTTTTTAATGAAACATGCATAAAGGAAAGATTGCTGCCTAAATATACAACTATATATATATATATATATATATATATATATATATATATATATATATACAGATACACACACACAAACACAAGCAGGGTACGATGTATAAATTGTCTAAAATGACTCCGTATATAACTCATAGCACATGAAAAAGAAGAATCCTATTTTTTTTTAGTTTAAAGGATTCTTGTGATAGACTATTTAATCTTATATTTTGTCCCTTAGACTTTATATTGTTTAAGCAGGGAATAGCTGGTTCATATTTAACTTTGATACTGGAGGGAGTTCCTACAACTCATATGAAGACCAGAATATATAATCCTTATTTTCAACTTAGACTGGCCCTCCTTACATGAAAAATTAACACCAAACAGTCTTCATATCACTTTTTACCGCATTTCCCCTTCTGCGCAATTAATGTTAGTAACCATCGAGGTTGCTCACCTTGATTCAGATACATGAGATATAAAAAAGGAAGTAATCCTCAAGAAAGAATGTGTGGGTAGTGTAACGGATATCGGCGCTACAAGCGGAATCGGGGAACCGAGTTTAAATCCCAGCTTCGCCTAGTAAGTTCATTTTTGCGAAGATGCCCCTGAAAAAATGAGGCATGGAAAAGAAATTTCAAAGTTATGACTTATACAGCAAGATAGATTCAGTTCTCTAGTCTTGGGTGGCAATTACTCGATGAATTCTAAACTATGAAAAAAGGCAGCAGAAATCTACTTAACTATATCCCAAAGAAGGCAACAAAACCATTAAGACGCAGGCTATTAGTGAGTGTGAAAGAATATAACAAAATAAAACATTAAGAGCGAGAACAATAAAAGAATAGGAGTTAAGAAAACACTAGATAACGACTAAAATTGTATTTAAAATTATGAAGAACAAAGTTGACTGGGAAGCAAGAAACCTGAAGGGATTTCTGCAATCGAGAAGTGCGAGAAAATAAACTATTAGAATAGAACTCAAGGTTATATTGAGTTATTTCATCTACGCTTAAATCCGTAGAGTTTTCGTACCATCAGAACAATTACAATGAAAGTATTTATAGAAAAAAAGCACAGAGAAACTAGATTACAGTGGTGAGAAAGTGATTGAAAAAAGGTCACAGATAAACATAAATATGATTGAACAGATAAATAAAAAGCTCGGTGAGTTTTCTTTCGACATAGGTCCGCATATCAGAGATAATAAAATCTATTGAATTTATTATCATATTTATTTTTTAATACCTTACACAAAAATAGAACAAATTTAAAGATTAATTCAAAAGATTTATCTTAACCCTGACATGTCTGCTATATTCAGAGGATAAGTCTGAGATGAGGTATTATGTATTTACATTATTCGGACTCATCTTTGTTGCCATATTTATCACAATATTTCAGCCTTCTTCAGGTAGTTGGAATGTCGAACTGAACCCTTTATCTCGCTCACTGTCAGTTATCTCCTGTTAATTTCCCTCTGAAAGTTTTCCACTGCCTTAACCGGGTATTGAACTCACACTCTTTGGGTCCTGTCTAACCAACACCTTTATCTACTGAGCCATATGTCCTTGAGGACATCTGGGTATGAATTTTTGGGTATTATAAACCTAATGTCTCACAATATAGGAACCAGTAATAAGGAGTGCCAGAGAAAGCAATAATAACAACAAAAGTTTCAATATGAGCTCGGGTAAAAACATGGATGATAACAGCAAAAATTGCAATATGAGCACTGGTAAAAATGGATTCTGTTAAGAGATAAATGTAAATACAAACAAACAAAAACGAAACCAAATGGTGGTTTAGCTATGTATTTAGAGACTCTTGGTAAAATCCAGAGAAGAATCTGCAATATTAGTCGTCCTGATTTTACATTTCGGCTTCAGTGACTTCCCCATCGCAGTAACGTAGATTTTCTCTACCTTTTCTATAACTATTTTTATGGTAATTGTTACGATGCACTTTCCTCTGTGGTCCGTAGACTTTAAGAATTTAAGCGCATTACTAGATTGGCAATAAAGTCTCATCATTTTACAGTTGGAATGGTTAGATGTAACCGCAAGTTTTATGCTAGCAGTTTCTTCTATTGAAATTCTCCCTTGCAAAACTTACTTCCGGCTTCTTGTTATCCAGTCAACTTTGATCTTCAAACATTTAAATGCAATGTCAATCGTTATCTTCTGACTTCATAATACTTGTTCTTTTATTGTTCTCTCACCTTAATAATGTTTTATTTTTCTCTTATTTTCTCACACTCAGTAACACCTTGCGTCTTAGTTGCTTTATTGCCTTATTTGGGGTGAAAATAGAAAGATGCATTAAAGAAATTAAAGAAGACTTTTAGGAAAAAAAAATTAAATTGTGGTCGTAATCTTTTATTCAGTCCTGTAGCTCAATGTTTGTCATTCACACTAACACGATACGAGTCCTGACATAGAACTGACATCATGGCGGCTCTGAAAGTAGGACATTCAAAAGTTATGAGTTACAAGAGGATGAGTAGTATTAAAGTTATTCATATATATAGGGACATTAAAAGGCATAATCAATACTTATAGAACCTAATGACAAGAACTGCATAGTCAGCTCGATATGGGTTGTTAAGGTCAAGGCTTTGAGTCGGCTAATCTTATAACACGATAATATCTTCACCAATGAAATTTGTTTTTGTTGCACGCAATATAACGTTAGGTGCTTCATCACGTTGCAATGTTTCACCTACTGCTGTATCAGCTAAAGTAATGTAATTTTCACTTTTCAGTATTCTATCGATTT